CTGGACTACACAGCACAGAAAACAACAAAGCAAAACAGAAAGACTCTCCCTAAATCTTTTTTTAAAATGATAGATGAAATAAATTTAAAAGATACATGGAGAGAAAGAAATGCTAAAACTAAACAATACACCTTCTACTGAAATAGACACTTATCATGGTCCAGAATAAATATGATATGGATGTCAACAGAATTGTTAACTAATATTCAAGAAATAAATATTGAAACAAGTACTTGGGAAGATCACAATCCAATGACAATTAAATGGAAAGGACAAAGAAGAAGATCTAGATGGACACTAAATAATACTATTTTAAAGGAAAAAGACTTCACACAGTGGATGGAGAAAGAATTGGCTTTTTTCTTCAGAGAAAACAAAAAAGAAGATACATCAATCCAGAATGTATGGGATACAATGAAGGCATATGCCAGAGGCTTGATAATAGACTATACAAGGAAAAGAAACACCATGAAAAGATTAGCCTCTAAGGCATTAGAGGATGAGTATAAAGGACTTGAAAAAGAGTTACAGAAAATGCCACAGAAAAAGGACATTAAGTTAAAAATGGATATAACTAAACATAAAATGGGTCTAATAGAAAAAGAAGAATTAGCACAGAAAATTAGAGGTGCTAAACAGAATTACTTTGAAGATGCAAATAAACCAGGTAGATGGTTAGCATATAAATTGAGAAAGGAGAAAGAATCAAGGAAAATATTGCAATTAATAGATGATCAAGGCCAAGTTTGCTATGGTAGTAAAGAGAAGAAGGAAATCATTTGAGACTATTATGGGAAACTATACACACAAGAGAATATTGATGAGGAAAGAGTCAAACAGTACCTACAGAATGCTAAGTTACCCCAGATACCTAAAGAGACTGAAACAATGTTAGAAAGCAATATAACGATGATGGAGTTAACTGAAGCACTCAAGAAGCAAAATGATGGAAAGGCACCAGGCCCAGATGGACTTCCGGCAGAATTTTACAAAACATTACAAGAATCATTGAATCTTCCACTGCTAGAAGTTATGAATGAAGTTATGTTAAAGAAGAGGATACCTAAATCATGGTCAGAAGCTTATATTACACTTGTTCCAAAAGAGGAGCCTGATCCATTACAAATCAAGAACTATAGACCTATTTCCCTACTAAACACAGATTATAAATTTTTTGTTTCAATATTGGCAGAAAGACTTAAAAAATACTTAAATAATTTTATTCATCCTGATCAAAATGGATTTCTGCCAAAGAGACAAATTAAAGACAATATGAGAGTAATCTTGGACACTTTGGAATATTACGAGGCACATCCTGAAAAACAAATGGCTTTGCTAGAAAATTTATTCAAGCAATAGAAGCTATATATCATAAGCAAACAGCAAAGGTAATGATAGAATCTATCGATATAAGAAAAGGAACAAGACAAGGGTGCCCACTGTCACCTCTGTTGTTTGTGTTAACTTTGGAAGTGCTAAATAGAAATATTAGAGATGAAAAGAATATAAAAGGGATGAAAATTAAAAAGGAAGAATTTAAGTTGCAAGCATTTGCAGATGATCTGGTTTTTATTTTAGAAGACCCACTAGAAACAGCATCAAAATTGATAGAAAAGATAGAGACATATGGAAAGGTGGCTGGTTTGAAAATAAATAAAGATAAGACAAAGATCTTGACAAAGAATATGCTATCTAGACAAAAGGAAGAACTGGCAGACCTATTGAAAATTCAGGTCACGAATAAGATCAAGTACTTGGGGATATACTTGACAGCAAGATGCAGTACACTAAAAGAGAATAATTATATCAAACTTAAACAGCAGATAGCGCTAGATTTGGTGAAATGGGAAAATTTACAACTGTCATTAATAGGGAGAATCTCAACAATCAAGATGAATATATTACCCAGAATTTTATATTTGTTTCAAACAATTCCAATTAGGCTTGGAAAAGACTATTTTGAAGATTTAAATAAAATTGTGTTGAAATATATATGGCAAGGTAAGAAAGCGAGAATAAAGTTAAAACTTTTGCAAGATGCTAGAATAAGAGGAGGATTTGGTTTGCCTAATTGGGAGTTGTATTACCAAGCTACAAATTTGATGTGGGTTAAGGAATGGATAACATTAAGGAATACTAGATTGTTGACATTAGAAGGACATGATCTGTTGTTGGGGTGGCATGCTCTTCTATGGTATAAAGGAACTAAAACACAGGGGTACTTTAGAACAGTGGTCCCCAACCTTTTTTGTGCCAGGGACCAGTTTCACTCAGAAACACTTTTTCAAGGACCGGGGGGGGGGGTGTCCGAGTTTGGTGGTTTGCTTGCAGACGTTTCATTATCTGCTTAGGTAACATCTGATGTTGTTACCTAGTCGGGTAATAAAACATCTGCCAGCAAACCACCAAGTTCAGGGAACGCCAATGCCTCCTCATTGCAACCCTGAGTGACAGATAGTCCCTGCAGGACGGCTGAGAAGCCTCGCCTCTCGGCCCTGCCTTCATCAGCCCCATCCCTCAGGTGTCTCCCTCCCTCCCTCAGCCTCATCCCTCAGGTGTCTGCCTCGTTCCTCTCTCAGTCGCTCTCTCACTCCTCCACCAGCCCAGGAAGAAACTGCTTCAAAGAAGCCAGCAGGGTGGCTTTTCCTGTCGGCGCAGCTTCCCCAAAGCGCCCGTTCACCCCCACCCCGCCGCCCACGGTTCAATCCTCCATTCTGCCTGCCTGCCTTCGTTTCTGGTGGTTTCGGAGCGCAGCTTCTCCGAAGCGCCCGTTCACCCCCGCCCCGCCCCGCCCCGCTGCCCGCGGTTCAATCCAGTGCTCCGTTCTGCCTGCCTGCCTTCGTTTCTGGTGGTTTCGGATCCTCCGAAGCGCCTGTTCACCCCCGCCCTGCCCCGCCCGGTTCAATCCAGTGCTCCGTTCTGCCTGCCTGCCTGCCTGCCTTGGTTTCTGGTAGTTTCGGAGCAGCTTCGGCTGAGAAAAAGAGGCAAATAGTTATTATTCTCAGCCGAAGCTGCTCTGAAACTACCAGAAACGAAGGCAGGCAGGCAGGCAGAACGGAGCACTGGATTGAACCTGGATTGATTGGCGGCGGGGTGGGGGTGAAACGGGCGCTTCGGAGGAGCTGCGCCGACAGGAAAAGCCACCACCCCCCGGCTTCTTTGAAGCAGTTTCTTCCTGGGCTGGTGGAGGAGCGAGAGAGCGACTGAGAGAGGAATGAGGCGGGAGGAAGCCGAAGCCACTGAGCCAGAGAGCAGGACAGGCTTCGGTTGCTTCCTCCCTCCCCTTCTCTCATTTGTGTCCTTGATCCCCGATCCCAGCAGCATTCACCGAAGGCGAAGAAAGCCGCCATTTTTTTTTCCTTTGCGGCCCGGTACAGAGTGCTCCACGGACCGGTACCGGTCCGCAGCCCGGTGGTTGGGGACCCCTGCTTTAGAAGACATTATATACGGGAGTCTCTGTGGTTAAACTGGGAGAAGATTAAAAGACAATGTTATTTGGAAATTCCAGTCTGGCTATCGACTATTGAAGCATTTTCTTATCCTATAATATACAAAAAGGAACAAACAGATATGGTGAAATATTGAATGAAAAGGGTGAACTTAAATCTATGCAAAAACTAGAGGAACAAGGTATAAAGATGAATTGGTTTTCATATGCGCAAATACATTCAAGGTATGATAAAGATTCTAAAACAGAAGGTTTCTATGATAAATTGACTGATTTAGATAAGATTTTGACAGGTACTGATGAAAAGGTGATTAAAAAATTGTATGGATATTTATTAGAAATTAAACTAGAAGACTTTCAACACTATCAACATGATATCCTTCGATGAGAGAGAGAGAGAGAGATGGGTGGGAGGCAGTGGTGGTATTCTACTGGTTCGGTCCAGTTCTGGCGAGCTGGTAGCAGCAATGAGCAGTGAAGACCGAACCGGTTCTCTCAGCCGTTCTGCTGTTGGGCCCACCCACCTGTCCAGGCTCCCATACTCACCTTTATCCGCTAAATTTGAAGCGCACCTGCTTTGTGCGGCACAGAATAGTGCCGCGCGGCAGCTGTTGAAGAGTCCGGAATCATGCAGGCTTGCTGGAGGTGAGTTAGAACACCTCTGCGCCTGCGCAAACGCCTCTGTGCCTGCGCAAAGTGCATGTTTGGCATGTGCGTGAATGCAAAGTGTGCGCATGAGCGCAAAGCGTGCCCACCAAGCCACATCCACTGAACCGGTGGCAAAAGTATTTGAATCCCACCACTGGTGGGAGGAGATGAGAGAGAGAGAGAGAAAGAAAAAGATAGATGTGAGAGAGAGAGATGAGATAGAGAGACAGAAAGAGAGAGAGAGAGAGATACCTGTTTAAAAGAAAATAGAAAAATGGCTCTGAGTGTTTAAGGTTGCAGACCCCTGAGTTAGGCAAACACCATAGTCATTAAGTGAACCTTGTGGTCATTAAGCGAACACTGTGGTTAAACAAGTCCATTTTTCCCAATGGGCATTTTTAACCAGAAACCAGAAGGAAATGTTGGAAACTGGCAAAAAACATAAAAACCTCAATCACATGACTGTGTGGGAGGTTGTAACTGGTCATAAGTGTGTGTGTGTGTGTGTGCATGGCTGTCAAAACTCCAAAAACAGGTCAAGTAGCTCTGGGAAGGTCAGTTGTAAATTAGAACAGTTGCTAAGCAACTGGCCATTAAGCGAGGACCACTTGTATTTGGTTTGTCACCAGGCGACGCTCACCCAGTCACATGACAAAGCACACCCACCAGGCTACGCCCACCCAGTTTGAATCCCACCCCTGGCCCCAACTCTTTTGTAACATGGTTCCCAGCATAAACTTCAAAGCTTATGTCCTCACCCCAACCAAGGTTTTGTTATCTCTGCTCTAAATCTGCTAAGCCTGAATTGTCAAATACAAGACTATATTTTAATTCCAACAGAAGAGGTAAGTGGTAATAAACAAGCCAACTGGCTTTTCAATATTTAAACTGTCCATCACTTCACCTTTTGGTCCAAATAGGATCCCATAGCATGGTTTGTGGCAATATGGCTGTCCATCATGCTAGAAGAAAAAAAATACAAGATGAAAACATTAGTGTAAGTCATGAGATTAGCCCCCTTTCTGCTAAATTCAATGCACTGTTAACTTTTGAACAAAACAAATGGTTTTTGTTACCATCAATATTTTCAATCACTTTATACCTCAAAGAACATTAAATATAAATCACCTAGTTTATATAAAGAGTTTATATATAGCAAGTACCCAAAATAAAACAAACTTCTTAGCCCCTAGTACCTTGATGGCGAACCTATGGCACACATGCCAGAGGTGACACACAAGCCCTCTCTCTGGGCATGTGAGCTGTTGCCTCAGCTTAGCTGTGCTGTGTATGCGCACCTGAGCCTCCCGCTGGCAAGCTGGTCTTTGGGTCTGCCGCCCATGTGCAAGAGGTGGGCTATGCAGGGGTCGCGTGCATATGCAGGGGGTGGGACATGCCAGGGGGCGGGGTGCACACACGGGGGTTGTGCAGCATGTGCAAAGTTCACTCATGTGTACATGCGTAGGGGCGGGGCGCGCATGTGCAGGGTTGTGCAATATGCATGGGGTGCACATTCAGGGGCCATGTGTGCATGTGCAGGGGCGGGGGCTTGCTCAGGGGGTTGCACAAACATGCGGGGGGTGGCGCATGCTTGGGGTAGGGCACATTTGTGGGGGTTGCGGGGGGTTGTGTGCACATCTGCAGGGGGTCACGCATGGATGGGGGAAGGTGGCACACATGCATGCATGCATGCATGGGGGCAGGGTGCATGTGCAGGACATGCGCAAGTTACATTTGCAGGACATGCGTGCATAGACGTGCGTTGGGCACTTGGTGCCGAAAAGGTTAGCCATCACTGCCCTAGTATCTCTCATACTAAAATATTGACATTTTTTTATTTCAAGGCAATTGCAGCATAAGACTGCTGCCTCAGTTCTAGCATGCACAAGAATAAAACTGCAAGCCTTTGACCTAATTAAAAGTTATGTCCATTAATGGTAAGTAGTACATATTGTGCCTGATTGCAAAAACATCTTTTGGATCCCAAATCTCACTGATTGTCAATGCAGAACAATGATCTCTCTGTACCTAGGGAGACGTTTAGTCTTCATTGCTTATACTTTTGGCATACAGTTTCCTTGCAGCAGGAAAATAAATGCTATTTATTGATTTTCTAATAGAATCACTCAGAGTTGGAAATTCTTCAGAAGTCATCTGATATAAATCTGGTGCAGGAAATGTTAAATAAGTTTGGAACAGGTTAGGCAGGGATATGATTGCATTAAAAATTATTACAGAAAATTGTTGTGAGAAAGGTGACAAAAAAGGAGAAGAGAGTATGTACAGGAACATGGTGCTAGAAGCCAAAATCTCTGTTGTGTATAAGTCTGTGGTAGCTCTGTGTGTGTGAGGGGGGGAGGGAGGGAGGGAGACAGAGGGAGAGAAAGAGAGGAAAAGTGAGAGAAAAATGAAAGAGAAATTGAGAGAGAAAATGAGAGAGAAATTGTGTATATGTAAAAAATGTATAAAGTGGAAAAAGAACAGCTCCAAACATTTGGGCATTGGACACTGATATAATCCACTTCTCACCAAGCTAATGTCTAGAGTGGCAATGCAGCTCTTTGTTCTAAGAATTTCTATATCCATAATACAATATATTAGAACTATTAAAAAGTGAAGTCTCCTTTGAATTAATTGATTCTCATCCAAGTAGATGCCTTGATTTGCCACGACTGTCTTCTCAGATTTTTTTTAAACTTAAGTTGAATGTACAACCCTAGAATTTCCTGGTAATCTCTATTCCAAAAAGTAACCAGTGTGATTGCTGTACGTTTTTATGATCAGCCCAGATCAACCAGGTACATCACCTGGTTTCTAGTCAGAATAGCAGCATACGTTACAGTTTACAAACAAAAACATACACCTCCAAAATTTCAGTAAGAAAATGTAGAAATCAGACAACATATACTTTATACTGTTGTAGATACACCTATTAATAAATGAATCAGATGCAGACTATATCAGAATATTTGGGAGTTATTGTCCAAAAGACACCTAGAAGGACCAAAGGATACTGTAAGGCAGAAACAGTTGATTATGAAGTAAAATGTAAGGAATAATTAATTATAAAGAATATGTGGTTTATTTTGGGATATCAAATATTAATTGTGAAATCTGTCAAAATCTACTTCTCTTTCAGATCTTGGAATCCAGATAGGAGCAAAATATGTAAAAGGCCTGCCAATTCAGTTCTAAAAACACCAGAAGATAAAACCTGAATCCAACAATAGATTCCTACCTCAGCATGGCCTCCAGGAATAAGAGTCTTCCCGCAACGCTCACAACGTAGACAGGGACGGTGCCAATCCTTGCCCAATGAAGTCACCTTCTCAGCTACAATACAGAAAAAAATGCATGTAGTTCAACTTATCTATAGGCGTAAATCAATATGCTCACCTTGGAGTCAAGGCAGTTGTTAAAAATAAGAATTGTAATACTTCATCCTTATCCTCAATGTTGATTTCAAGACCTTCAAAGAATATTACGTTCTGAAGTGAATATAGTTTTAAACTGTATTTAAAACTCAACAATATGGGATAAACAGCATCACCACCAAATGGATTTGTAACTGGCTGATACACCCTACTAACTAATAGCCCTTAATGGTACTACATCTACATGAAGGGAAGTAAGTAGTACAGTACACAAGGTTCTGTCTTAGGTGCAGTACTATTCAATATCTTCATAAATGACTTAGATGTGGGAATAGAATTTAGTATCAGATGCTGCTAAACTGGCAGGAATAGTCAAAACCCCAGAATACAAGCTCAGGATCCAAAAGATATTAACAGACTTGAACAATGGACTCTATACAAAATTGAAATTTAATGTAGAGAAAGGCAAGGGTTTATACTTAGGCAGGAAAAATCAAAGGAACAGATTAGGCAAAACTTGGTTTAAAAACAGAAATTATGAGAGGGACCTTTGAGTCCTAGTGGACAATCACTTAAATATGAGCCAACAGTGTGTGGCAACAGCCAAAAAAGCTAATACAATCCTTGTGTCAGGTTCCATCACACGGATGAAAGAAAGCACAACAGCCACAACAGGATTTGATGTAAGCAGTTTATCTTCCTCCGGATTGTGCCAGCACTTAACTGACCAGCTGCTAAACAATATAAGCTAGCAGAGATTAAAGTCAGGGCTAATCACTTAGCCCTCTCCATCACCTTTATTGACTCGATGTGTCCCGCCCCAATTATCCCAAGCATCCCGGTAGGCACACACCCAGTTATTCTTCCCAAGAGGAGATAGGTATTTTCCCCCAGCTGTTGGTCCTAGCCGCACGTCGCCCCTGCCCCCAATGGATCACATGCCCTGCGCCCGCCATGCCTCCCAATCAGCTGTTTCACAGCAACTTTGGGATTTCCCTCTCAGCTCTTCTGCCATCGCTCAAGGCAAGCCTGCATGCTTGCGGCAGCTAAATGATCTGGAGTCACAGGGCTTCATAGAAATGTCCATGGTCAGCAGCTTGAATGATCGGGAGTCATAGGGTTTCGTAGCAACGTCCACGGCTGGCCTGCCCCACAAATGGCAGCCCAAAGATGATGTTGGGCTGACATGCGGCCCCTCTACCACAAAAGTGGCACCAGGAAATACAGGAAGAAGCATTATTAGCATAGTCACCCCCTCCTGGCTTATGCGGGTTCCTCCTATGGTATTTTGCTATTCCTTGGGGTGCCCTCATAGCTGTACTGTTTACCCAGGAGGCCTCAGCCAATGGGTATCCCTTCCATAGCACTAGATACTGTAACCGGCCCCTAATACTTTATGGACCTCATAATGCTTTTCACCTCCCAAATAATAGGACCAGGACTTGGGGGTAAAGGGCCTCATATGGGAGCTGACCTTACTGGTTGTAAAAGACTACAATGGAATACTGGCCGAGTTCTCCCAGGCAACTTTGGTAATTTAAGTTGCACAGTGACCGGGTTGATGATTTTCTCAATTGGGAAAGGCCCAATGTATTTGGGTAGCAGTTTCTTGCTGGGAACTTTTAGGTTTAAATACTTGGTTGACAAATAGACTTTCTGACCCACATGGAAGTTGGGGCTTGTTTCTTTTCTTTTTTTTAATTAGAAAAACTTTATTAAACAAATAAACAAACACAAAAACAAACAAGTCTTACATTAAAAATTTGAATGTGGTAGTTTCCTAACATCAATCATTGTCATTACTTTGTTAAATCCAATAGTAGTATTATATAATTTCCATCTACATGCTTTAAATATAAATATAATCATTCCTTATTCTCATGGATCTTCCTCATCTCTAGCCAACCATAAAATTTACCCCATGTTTTATAATAATCCAAATCTTCCTTATTTTTTAGTTCTTTTGTTAATTTATCCATTTCTGCACACATTGTAATTTTCCTCAATATTTCCAATTCATTTGGGATATCTTTACTTTTCCAATTCTGTGCATATGCCAACCTTGCTGCAGTAATTACATGGATCATTAAATACAGATTTTCTTTATCGTATTTCCCAGTGTTAATTCCTAGCAGAAAGAACTCAGGCCTATGTTGTACTTTAATTCCACACATTTCTTCTATCCACTTATGTAGATTTTGCCAATATTTTTGGGCCTCTTTGCAACTCCACCATGTGGTAATACGTTCCTATTTCTTTATTGCATTTCCAACAGATGGGGGAAAGTTTAGGGTTCATTTTTGCCAATCTTGATGGTGGTATGTGCCATCTATAAAATAATTTATACAAATTTTCTTTGAAGGGTATCGCTAAAGTCATTTTTTTGTTTCTATCCCATAGTTTTTGCCAATCATCTAAATTAATGCTATAACCAAAATTTTTCATCCATACCACCATCATTTCTTTTACTTTTTCTTCTTCCAATTTAAATTCCAATAAAACTTGATATATATTTTTTTATCATCTTCAGTTCAGGTCCTAATAAAATTTCATCTAATTTTGTCCTAGTTCTACTAATTCCCCATTCTCTCTTATCTTTTAAATATTTTGATTGGAGTTGCTAATAGGCTCACCATTCGACCTCAATTTCCTGATTCTTCAACTCTTGTCTAGTTTGTAGTTCCCCTTTTTCATTTAATAGCTCTTCATAGGTGATGATTTTTCCTTGTCGCAAAAGGTGTGGGTGCATCAGTGCCTCCAAAGTTGATAGCCAAATAGGTATTTGTTTTCTTAAGTTTTCGCAGGTACTTACATGTATAGTATTCAGCTTTGTTCGGGTATTTTCCCACGTCATTATAGTTGTGCTTTTAAAGTTGTAGCAACATTTCGGCAGAATCTCATCTGCCATCATCAGGCTTCTGTATTGTGTTCGTCTGTTCGTCTACCAAATAGGTATTTCTATATACATTTGCCTTTTTATCTTATACTATGTGTTTAAGAGAGTCTGTTTTACTTTATGCCTTTGCACATAACTATAACCCTTTAATTTCTCCTGCCAGAGGAAAGCGTGCCATCCTGACTGTAAGTTGTAGCTTTCTAATAACAATATTCTTTTGTTTCTATGATTAATCCATCTTTCACCCAAGTTAATATAGCAGCCCTGTAGTACAACTCCCAGTCGGGTAGGCCAAATCCTCCTCTTTCAGTAGCATCTTGCAACAACTTTAATTTAACTCTTGGTTTTTTCTTTTGCCATATAAAATTTGTCATAATTCTATTCAAATTATCAAAACACTTTTTTCCTAGTTTTATAGGGGCATTTTGAAAAAGAAATACTAATTTGGGTAAAATATTCATCTTTATTACCGCTATCCTTCCCATGAAGGATAGACTTAATTTGTCTTACTTTTCCAAATCTTTAGTTATTCATTTTATTAGTGGGTCATAATAGTCTGAGTGTTATATATCTTGCCGAAATTATAATTTCCAAGTATTTGACCTCTACAATTTGGATGCCCATTATTGTTTCTAATAATTCTTTCTGTTTATTTGTCATATTTTAGTAATAATTTTTGTTTTATCCTTATTAATCTTTAGCCCTACGACTTCTCCAAATTCTTCTAATTTGCCTAGTAGTTTTGGTCCCGAAATTTGTGGTTCCTCTAGTATAAAAAGTAAATCATCCACGACGGCTTGTAATTTAAATTCTTCATTTTTTATTTTTAGACCTTTAATTTCTATATCTTTTCTAATTATTTTTGTTAAAACCTCCAGCGACATAATGAAAAGAAGTGGCGATAATGGGCATCCTTGCCTAGTTCCTTTTTGGATTTGAAATTTATCCGTTATCCCCCCATTCACTAGAATTCTGGCTTTCTTGTTCTTTATATACTGCTGAAATTACATTTAAGAATTTTTGTCCTAAGCCCATGTATTTAATTTGCTGCAAGATGAACTTCCATTTAACATTGTCAAAGGCCTTTTTGGCGTCTAAAAACATTAATGCGACTTGATCCCCACTATAATCCTCATAATATTCTATAATGTCTAGAGTTGTCCTGATATTATTTTTAAGTTGTCTATAGAGAAGGAATACGTTTTGATCTGTAGAGATGAATTCATTTAAAAATTTTTTGAGTCTTTCTGCAATAATTGACACAAAAATTTTATAATCAACATTAAGTAGGGATATCAGTCTATCGTTCCCAGGGTAAATAGGATCACTTCCATCTTTAGGTATAATTGTTATCCTTGCTTCTTTCCAAGATTTGGGGATTTTACCTTCTTCTAGGACTTCGTTGAATATTCTCAGCATTTTACTACTTAACGTACCTTGTTGCATTTTATAATTTTCCGCTGGTAGACCATCTGGGCCCAGAGCTTTATCATTTTTTTGCTTATTTATTGCCCAGTGGACTTGTTCTATTGTTATTTCCCGATTCAGGATATTTTTATCTTCATCTGAAATTCTTATAAGTCCTGTTTTCTTTAGGTATCCTTTTATTTTTTCCTCTGCTGGATATTCTTCCTCTCTATATAATTTCTCATAATATTTTAGAATTATCTCTCTTTTTTCTTCCTCTTGGTAGCAAATCTCTCCTTGGTCATTTCTTAATTTAGTAATCCACCTCTTTTCTTTTTGTTTTTTCAATTTATACGCTAACCAGCACCCTGGTTTATTTGCATTCTCAAATTGATATTGTTTTGCCATTTTTAATTGGTGGGCTAACTCTTCTTTCTCTATAAGTTTATTTTATGTTTTAATAGTTCCATTCGTAACTTAAGTTGTTTCTTCTGTGGTGTCTCTTGTAATTTCTTCTCCAGGTCTTTATATTCCTGTTCAAGTATTTTCCTTTGCTGTTTTTTCTCTTTATTTTATTTTTGCTATGTATTTTATTGCTACTCCTCTTATCAATGCTTTACCCGTATCCCAATTATTTTGTGGGGAAGTATCTTCCT